CTTAACGGCCTTTGTTTGTGAGCGGTTGAGTCTGTGTTTGAGAGAGTGTGTGTGTGTGAGTGTGAGTGTGTGAGTGTGTGTGTGTGTGTGACACACTATTTTTATATTTAATACTGTAAAGTTGCTTTGACAATCTGTATTGTTAAAAGCGCTATGTAGATAAAGGTTACTTGACATATTTTAGGTAAATAACTATAATAATCTGCAACAAAATTACTAAAACTTTTTAAAATTAAACTGAAAACAGAAAATCTAATTCAAAATCTAATCTAAAATACCGTGCTGCATATGAATGCACAGATGAATTAAGACTACAATCAGTATATTGTGTTTTATTTTCTATCAGACGGAGCGTAACAGTGTTTCTCTGCTACAGTAAAGCTTTTATTAATGATTAAAGTGAGTCTGCGGGTGTGTTTCACAGCTCACACTCATCAAAGCTTCTTTTATTTCTCTTCAAACACACAAACCGGCTGTAAAAGAGGAACGCACGTGCCAGCTGAACTCTTCTTCTCTTCTCGCAGTGTGAAGTTCAGTAAGGGGTACGCTGCTCTGAGTCAGACAGGAGAGGATTCGCTCGTCTCGCTGGATTCAGACAGGTGCGATTCAGCTATCCAGAGAAGAAGCGTCTTCTGTTTGAATCATTTTGATTGATTGGTTTGGTGTTTGATTTGATAAGTGACGCGGAGCTGGACTGTTCGTCTGGATATTCCTCAGCAGAGGTGAGTTAATACCTGTTACGTGCCTGATGTTAAAGAGGGATGATGCTGTAATATTTAAGTGAGACGTGTTACTGGATGTGGTGCAGATCAAAGATGACACTGAAAAGTAGTGCGTTTCAGAAGACTGTGCCGAATGCATTGTGTGAAAGTCTACAAATAATTAAGTGAAAAAGAATATGAAATTTAACACACACAAAAAAGGAAAAACAGGAGTGTCGCCCCAAATCAAAGAAATAAACAAAACAAAACAATCCTTGTAACTAACCTCTAAACTGACTAACAAAAAGAAATATAAAAATAAAACCAAGATCTTCGGCATATACCACGCTCTGATTAAACTCCTTTGAGTCAAGTCACCTTTATTTATATAGCGCTTTTAACAATACGGATTGTGTCAAAGCAACTTAAGAAAATAAAAACTAAAAACAAAAGTACAAGGATGGTGAAACACTCCCAAACCTAATCTAACAAAGTACAAACTTCTCTCATTTTAGAAACGAAACAAACAGCAACGTAACAACAAATGGCTAGGCAATCAAATTAGTACAAGAGACGTTCTTGGTTAAGTAGCTCAAAGTAACAATATGCATTATTAAAGTGCCCCTATTATGGGTGCCTAAATGTCATATTTTTTTCATTTAGTACTTCCCTTTAGAAGCAACAGAATATGGTTACATATTCAAACATTCAAATAGTTTTCACCCCCCGGCTCTTAATGCATGGTTTTTCCTTCTGGAGCATCAGTCATGAACAACTATCACTAAACACAAAAACACACAGCTGTGGATCATTCAGCTAACAACACAGCATTAAGAATCAAAAACTTTTGAAAGGGGTAATTTTTATAAATTCAACTATTATTTTCTCTTGTGGACTATATGTAAATGTCATTTATGTGAAATATTGTATTCAGGTCAGTACTAAATAAACAATAACATGCATTTTGCACGATCCCTCTTATTTTGGTAAAACAATTTACATTTTGCAGATTCTGAAAGGGGGATGTAAACTTTTGACCTGAACTGTATAGTCTGATATAGTGAGAATATGCAAGGGGAAAAACAGCTCAATTTTATTCAGAGACTCAAACTGAGCAAAAATATGAATTTGGTGCAGATGCTGATATTTCTATGATGAAATTCTGATGCTTGTAATCAATGAGATCTTTATAACAGTACAGCAGATGCTGAATAACAGGCATTTTGTATGATCCCTCTTATTGTGGTAAAATAATTAACATTTTGCAGATACTGAAAGGGGGATGTAAACTTTTGACCTCAGCTGTATGTGCCATAAAAGCCTAAAAAAATAGATTTTTCTGACTATTATTAGGGGTTAAAGGGTTATACAGTCACATAAACACGATGCACTTCACAAGTTTTGTTTTCATGAAGTGAGCACCTTTGATATCAGTGATAACAGTGTCTCTCGGCAGGTGCATCCGGACCTGAGCAGGCAGCTGCTGAAGGATGGATATCACCTGGATGAAATCCCTGATGATGAGGATCTGGACCTGATTCCCCCGAAAGCCCTGAGCTCCTCCTCCGTCTGCTGCTGCTGCTGTGTGCAGTGATCCAGCCCAGAGCTGCTGATGCACCCGCTTGAGTTCTTACAGTGTTTTTAGGAGCACAGACTGGTTTTCTTTGTCATGGTTTAAGCCTCAGTCTCGTTACTAGAAATACACAGCGTAGCCAAAATCCCAAACACTTCCAGCTTTGAGCTGCTTATGAATCAGAGCCATGATTTACTCACATCTCTGCTGCTGTCTGCATCTCATGAAAACACTGGAGAGCCGGCATATATCACCTCAGAATCTAAATAAATCAAATAGTAGTTATATTTGAAATTGAGGCAGATTTTAGTACCATTGCACAAGTTTTTTGCACTGCAACTTTTTTTTTGTTTGTTTCTTAGGTTTATTTACCGCTTAAATTCTCATTAATAAATGGAAGCTTGTTACATAAAACATAAAAAGATAACAGCATCTTCTTAATCTCACAATTCGGACATTTTTTCTTGCAGTTCTGAAATTATTTCTCACAATTTGGACTTTTTTCAGAAACTTTTTTCACGGTTTTCAGAATTGCGAGATATTAACTTGAGATTGTGAGAAAAAAGGTTTGAATTGTGAGATATGAATTTGTAATTGTGAGGTCATTTTTATTTATTTTTTAAATTTGTTTTGCAAAAACAGAATTGTGAGATGTAAACTTGGAATTGTGTGTTTTTTTTTATTTATTTTTTTTAACTTGTGTTGTTAACTTTTTCTCTGAATTCTAAGTTTACATCTTACAATTATGCTTTTGTTTCTGCCACAAAATAAATAATATATATATATATATTTTTTTTTTTTAAGCATTAGAAAATAGAATGTTTTTGTAACAACATGTACTTTTTAAAGTCTAATTAATGCATCATTGCTGAATAAAACAATTTTATTAATAAATATTAATAAATAAATCTCACTGACCTCAAAGACAGTGTATGTTTCTTGTCATTTAGACATGTTATTACCATCGAGATATTAACTTGAGATTGCGAGAAAAAAGGTTTGAATTGTGAGATATGAATTTGTAATTGTGAGGTCATTTTTATTAATTTTTTTAATTTGTTTTGCAAAAACAGAATTGTGAGATGTAAACTTGGAATTGTGTTTTTTTTTTTTTTTTTTTTTTAAAAATATATTTTCGCCGATTTACCTTTTTCC